ATATCACCATGATATCACCACTTACTAATCAGTCACCATGAAATCACTACTTCTGAATCCACCCAAGCTATACATTTCAGCCTTTTTTTCTCCTCTACATCTTAAACTGGGGAAGTATAAAACCCGAAATCCTCCTTTATCCATGGACGTAGTAAGTTGACCCTTTTATTACAGGGAGGAACTGCGATTTCGCTACATTTTTAACCTGTCAGCCTGGGCTTGTTGGACATCTTCCCAACTCCAATGGCACAGCATGTCACGCTCCCTCATGCTTTCAGCGCCTGTCAATCTCACAAGTTTTAATACCTTTATCAAGTGAAGCTCCAGCCATGTGGTAGAAGCTCAAAGCCGTGTCCACGTCATTTATGTTCTTCAGAAAAGTGAAGAAGCTCTCCACCTCCTCAAATGTCAGCCCCTAGGACAGAGAAAAGACAGTCTTACCACGTGGGAAAAGGAGATTGTGACACCACCCGCTTTATGAACAACAAAGTCACTCATCAACCCAAAGCTGTAGCCAGAGGGGAATTCACTGCACATTCAAAACACTGCTAGCCTGGGGCTTGAGGAGATGGTTTGCAACCTGTACTTTTGTTAACGGCCCCACCAGTCATGCAATGGGAAGAGACTTCCCCATGCACGGTGAGCAGCGGCAGAGACCAAAAAGGCTTTCTCTGGGCCTCGCTCCACAGCCAGCTCTTGCCTAGAAGAGCAGACACACCATAAGCCTGTGGCTGGAATGCAGGAGACCACTGCACAGTCTCCCCGAAGAGATTCAGGGATTCCTGAGGGGGATCCACGCCTTACCCAGTGTCACAGAAGGTGACACTGCAAACCACAGCACAAATAAATGTGCCCCAGTTAGCTTTGCTGCTGGTAGTGGGATGGCTGCGGGGCTGGATCGCTGTCTGCTCTACTTCCCAGCACAGTCGCCCGAGGCTTGGCTCACCCTGACACAGGTGAGCGTGTGCTCGGTGAGCACCTACAGCCAAGCACCCAGATAGTCATGGAAAGGCGTCCTGAGATCCCCCTACGCTGGCACCGCTGCATCCCAGCACAACTGACGGGCAGGTGGGGGATAAGAGACACGCTCCTCTCTGCACCGACCTGACCGGCGAGGAGCCCGCCGGGAGAGCAGCTCCGGGACCCCTACCTGGTTACAGCACACAACACAACACCCGATGTTATCCACCCACTGAGCGCCAGCACAACTGGATCAGTGCTGGGACAAGAGCTGCAGCCTCCAAACTGCCCCGCCACGGTCACAGCCCAGAGCCTACGGAGGAGGTAAATCACCACCACAGTAATAACCACTCAGCTGTCCTCTCTGGAAGGGATAAATCAGCTTGTAGAGAGGAGTGCAGGTTCAGGCTCCTCCTACCCTGTCTAGCACGACAGACTGATACAGCAAGATACTAAAAATCCCAAATGCATAACACAGCATGGTTTCATGTTCTGGATGGAAGAGCACACATTCAGTGGGTACTGTCAAATATAGATTTATAAAATCCATTGTAATTGTGCTCAAATTCTTCCCAACAGCATCTAATCAGGGAAGAAGCCACCTATCTTTTTTTAAAAGAAAGAGCACATTTTTTACGATCTTCTCATACAGACATGGTGCCTCTAGGATTATAAGCAGAAGAATTACAGAAAATTTGCAGCTTGTTCTTATCTTTGCTGTAACCGAGTGCGTGGCAACGCACCACTGATGTATGTTGCACAGCATGCACACCGACAAAAGCAACAGCAGGCTTTGTCAGGCCTAGATTCATGGATCCAGACCACCAAAAAGGATGAGACAACAAAGTGCACATGTGGACCATGGATCTGAAAAAAAATCCCCAGTTACTACACAGGGAGCTTTCTTTAAATGTATACCTGTTCTGCTCCCCAAGCAGTATGCTAAAAGATCTATGGCAGAATTAAATAAAATACAGTCCTAGCAAAAAAAAATAATCACATAAATCAGGTACTTCTGCAGGAAGTACTGCAAAGATTTCTCTGTTTTGTACAACAGATCTAGAGGATAAAAGATCTTATCAATTCAGACACTCATCCGGATGCCTCCCTGCTACGCGTTTCCTGATTGATATGCTCCTGCCTGGGAGCAGAGCACTAAAAATGTGGAAAGCCTGCAGGAACCAGGAGGCATGCAGCCACTTTCAGGCCAGCAGAAGACACTGTGCTGTGGTTTAAATGCTCTGTGTGGGACAGCTGAGGTTTGCAGTAGTGGCCACAAGGCATCCCAGCAGCTATTTTGTGCAAAGAGCCCCAGCTTTGCATTTTCTTGGAATTTTCCAGCACAAAATGGCAGATGTCAAGGCCAAACACTGATGTCCATGCAAAATGGCTCCTTGTTTAGTACCAACACTGCAGTTGCTATTGCTTCTGCGGGTAACAGGGAGGGTTTACATGCTTATGTACATAAACTTGTGGTCCTTTCACCAGCTGAAAAAGCAAAACCAGTGATGTATTGGGGTATCCTACAAATCTGGGCTTTCATGCAGACAGAGATACTGAATCTCTGTAGAAAAAATGCCATCAGTATTACAAAATTTAATATTTCATTGATGAATCCTATAGTTGAGGCTGGCATCAGCATTAACTCCTTTCCAGCTACTACAATAAAAATAAAATCAGTGACTGGGACAGCCTCCGGCTTGCACCAACAAGTTGACAAATGAACGATCACCTTGATCAGTCAGAAGTCTGAATATGGCAATTTCTCTATTCCCTGTTGATGTGTTTGTTGGTGCTGCTTGGCTCTTCGTAAGTTATTCACATCTCCAATGAAAGACCAATGGATGTTTCCATTAAATAATAGAGGCTTGTGTTAATTCGGAATCACAAGAAATTGTGTGTCTGGAGAGCACTATGGTAGCAATTATGGGATTAGGACGATCACTTCTTTCAAGGCATTTGTACATTTAGCTGTTGATGCATAAGCCTGAGTCCTTTCATCATTTGAGTAATATTGGGAAGACATAAGCAGGCAGACTCCCGAAACACATATCTGCTTGCAGCATGCATCTTACGACAGCTCAAACGCCTTCTGCAAAATTTAGGGCTTTTCACCTGGAAAGCCAGGTTTCAGCCGGGGAGAATTACATTTCACTCCCACCCTCTGCCATCTCAACAGAAAAATACGCTACACAGCCCCCAAAGCACGTGTAGGAGATGACCTGAATCACTGGTTTCTCAAGAGTCAGCTTGATTTTCTAGTGATTAGGGAGACACAAACCAAATACCTTGCTTGTAAATACTACCAACAACTCAAGTCCTTTTTACTAGCAGAAAAGCAGCTGTGTAAGTATAACTTCAGAGTGAGGATCATAAGCAATTTTAAACAGAGTGTGGCAGTTCCCTGAATATACACAGGAGTTCACGTATCCAGTGTAATACGGGATTTTTTGTCAAGAAAAATAAAAATGAAAGCAGATTATCAATTAATACAAGAAAACATGCCATTCCTAAAAGCAGTAATGTAGAATAACGATGTTGGAGAATGGCTAAAGTTTACACTAAAACCAGAGATTTCATGTTTTGGAGGCTGCTAGGGTTACCTGGAGCAGAAAAGGTAATTGCATCAGACAATGAAGATGATGCTTGGCCGACTTCACAAGAAAGCACTCACAAGGTAAATAGCATTTTGAAGGTAAAGCTTACCGGGTAGGTTTGGTACAATCACTGCCATTCTCCGACCAGCATCACACTACTAAAACTATTTTACTTCCACTCTTTGGAAAGCAAAAGCAAGTCTAAGCCCCTACTGCTCTCAGCGTAGAGGGGATTTACAACAGGTTAGTGAACTGTACAGATAATGCTACTACGCTGCTGTAAGAGTAGGCTAGTGAAGCGTGAAAAGAAGGGATTTAGGGAAAATGTTTTCCTGCAAAACATGTTGGCATTGTAAACCTCTCTGACCTAACAAGGTGGTCAGTGACTGGAAAGCACTGCAGGATAAATGAAGTGGCTGGGTGCCTTTAACGTCTCTTTGAGGTCTGGGAGCTCAAAGGAGAGCAGTGGATCTCACTGGCTCTGCTCCCTTTTTATACAAAAGGAGTAAGGCAGAGCCCGACCTAAGCAGCTGCTTGCTCTGCAGATGTCTGGGTTACAAAAACAGAAAAAAGCAATGCCAGTGTTGAGCTTCTGTAGTTTCAAGTGGGAGAACACTCTCTGGCTTAACACTTCATTCATTTACAAAGAAAACTTTGCAACCACATCCCTGAATAAGTTATCCAGAAAGCTCAAATGGCAGTTAATATGATTCTGGTCACAGCAGTCCTGTTTCTAAAGAGATGGGGAAATTTAAGCTACATAAAAACACTGACAACTGCACCAGGGTGATCCCATAAAAGTATGTAAGTACATTTAGAGACAAAGTGCTGCACAGAAATCTGCAAGGAATATGACCTTCTAAAATATCCCAAGGGAAAAAAAGAATCCCACATACTTTCAAGAAAATGTTCTCTTGTATAAAAGACAACGCAAAGTTAGGCACCAGGCTGGATTCTCTGTGAGCTAAAACCTGCTGAAGCGGAGGATTTCAGCACCTGATTTCTCTAGCTCTGCACAAGTACTGACTTATAATGGCCCTGGCTGCAAAAAAAGGCTTATCTGCCTCCAGTGCAAAGTGGCTGGAACTTCTTGCATCCTTTATATCTCCTTAAACCATTAAATATCTTGTTAACAGAGAGGCTGTCCCATACCAGGGTTTTGTGTGTTTCATTCCCCTGGTCTAAGGAATCATGACTTTTCCTCCAATTCTGTTTCTTGCAAATGTCATTTTTGTCCTATTCCCCAATTTCCCTCCTTGAAAGTCCTTGGAAGAAAGAAAAACAAAGACTTGCGCTGAATCCAGTTATCCGCAAACAGAAACACAATCTGGCTGATTTGGGGATGAGGAGTAAGGTAAAAACAAAAAGTTCTTCCTCTGCTACAGATGTCAGGGTCTTGGCTTGCACATGAAAGGAAGAAAACATCTGCTGTAAGAAACCTTCCAAAATAACTCCCTCTGCCTAATTTCTCATACACCCAGGTACTGTTCAATAATGTATGTGTGTGTGTGTATACATATATATTAAGAAAAACCCAAATCACAGCAAAAGAACCGACAGTTTGGGAACATTAACAACAGAGCTGCTATTTTCTGTTAGACACAGTGAAGAATTTTTTCCACTAGAAAGCAAACGATTCCTGTTAAAACTCAATGAGAGCAGGGGTATCGGAAAAGCCGAATCTGCAGCTTCTCGCTCAAAAATCAAATAAACAGACACAACCTTGGAAAGATCAATGGTCTTATTTAAGCCAGCAACAAAGCGCCTGAGAAGTCAGATTTCCAAATATTAACATGCAACACATTTCAGCTCTGATGACACATTGACTCCTTCTATTCACAACGGTCTATTAAACATTGAGCCTGTTTTACTACAAAACCTGAGGGAATCTGCAAAAAAATGCTCCTTCTGGCACGCCAAGGCCATGAGAAGCTGCAGGTACCACCGCTCCTCTGGCAGGAACGCAACTCTGAGTGCTGCCTTTTGGCTCGCTTCCAGTTTCCTCCACTTTTTAATTTTTTCGTGTTATTTGCAGTTAATAGAGATTTATTAGTCTCTGTGCCCCGCTGCTTCAGTATGCCCAAGTTCTCCAGCACCAGTGAAAGAGGGAGAAAATGGGAGGAAAAAAGTCACTGGGGTAGCTTCATATGAACCGAGGATTCCTGCACATCACAGGAGTCCAGTTAAGGCACCAAAAACAGACGAATAAGGACTAGACCCTAGCCAACACTTGTGTTTGGTAAACACACTTTGCATCACACAAGTTAAGAAATAAACTCCAGTTCTGATGTTAGGGAAAGTGGCTCTAGAACTGGCAGACCAACCCAATAGTCAGTCAGAGACTTTCCATCCATTCTCATTTGGGTGAATTGGTTGTTTACAACCTAGTTTATAAAAGAACAATCCATCTTTATAGAAGCAGATGTGAAATTCTAATACTGAAGTAATTTAGCAGCCCATACTTGACTTACCTGATAAAGCACGTCCTTTTGGTATGGATGTCTTATTCCAAGGTCTCTCACTAAATTAATAAGTGGAGGATCTGCAACCTTATTCCTCTCTAAATCATAAGTAATTCAAATAATTTTTCATGTAAGTTCATAACTAAGTAATAAACTGCCCAGTTGCAGCACCTGATTAATCTAAGGTCGAGTCAGTAACTAGGAACACGTCTTCAATGTTTATTTTGGCTCCAGACCCAGGGTGCCATCCAGCGAATTTAAATTTTGAAAAATACAGCATCCATTTTAATAGGGACAAGCCTACACCCCGATCTGGACACTGACTGTCGCTCTCCCACCTCTTCCATCTCCCTGCTGCTAGCAAAGTATTTATCACCCGCAAACTCAGCGTGTCTCCCTGCACTGCTTAACAAGGTGCAGGTGCTTTTCTTAAGAAGATGGAGATTGCTTACTCATTTCTCAGCATAGTGTGGAATGGCTGCACCCACTGCAACTTCCCAAATTTGCCACCAACACCACTGACCTCTCCGTCTTGGAAGTGCTTCTTGAGCTGCTTCAGCATGACGGTGAGCTTCTTGGACTGCACCCCGCTGTAGGCCAGCAGCATGCTGCCGAACTGCCGGGGAGGGGGGGGGGGGAAAACAAAGGGGAGATGAAAACAAGGCTGTGCAGCAGAAAGCTCCATCCAGGGTAAGGGTGCAAAAGGGCACTGTAATAAAAAAATGAACATTGCAGGAAACACTGCTGAAGGAGAAAGCCTAACGCATTTGAATACTCGCTTCCTCTAAGACTATCTCCATCAATAAATCAACATCTTCCCTATGTGCTGTTTCTTGCACAACCTATAGAAGAAGTCTCTGTATCTTGCCCTCCTGGTTTTATCTCACAGGGGGACAGCGTTTGTAGAGCTGGACTTGAAAAGGCAAGACAATTACTTTAACTTAAAACCAAGCTAGTGTCCACAGGTGTCCAAAGTGGTGAAAAGCAAGAACAAATACTAATGTGTTCTTCACAGGCACTTCCAGCTTCGATATCTGAATAAGCATCCAAAGAATTTGACTGCTGCAATGACATTTTCTGTTTGATCAAAAATCTTCACAGCTAACCTGCACGTGTGTGCTTAGAAGAAGTATATGTAGGAGTGGTTCCATGATTGCTGTAAAGGGGGATGCTGATTAATAAACCAGGAAAAAAAAATCTTGCAAAAACTAAGTTTCATTGTAGCTCTTCTCTGCTCCAAGCCCTGTAGAGGTGGATTCAGCACAGGAAAGTTCATGGGGGTCTCCAGACCTCACCTTCCCCAGTTCCAGTAAGTTCTCCTTGTCCTAAGCCCCTTCAAGACCCTTAAGAACGCTGCTGTGAGGCCCCTGCAGATGTTCCCACAAGTCTTTCAGCAAAGAAAGGTCTTCTCAACTAAACCATCTCTCCAGCCCCAGTTTATGTTCTCCTGGCTTTCGCTGCAGGGGAGAAGGCAAGAGCAATTCTCCCAACTTGGGAAGCTGCAGGGTTTGAGCACCATGTCTCTGCTAGATGAATAACGCAGATTTCATCTTTTCCTTTTCCATCCACCTCTTTGTGGCTCTAGCAACATCAATGTTAGACTTCAACTGACTTGGTTTCACAGATCTCAGCAGTCAGGATCCCTTATCTGATTTCCATCAGGTTTATCAGGAAACATATGACCTACACTATAGCTGATCACAAGCCAGAAGATGACATTTAACAACAAAATTAATTTTTAAACTCCTACCTAACAACTCAGTACCACTGACTTGACATTATCTTGCTTGGTGAGTTAACCATTTCTGCCTCAGCTGCTCTTCTACGCTTAATTACACAACTAACAAAAAAGCCAGCAAGGCACCCGACTGAGATCAAGGTGTGGAGATGAAAGCTGGCAGATCCACCAACCTGGCTTTCAATCCGTGTGCAGGCAGAGCTCCGGACATGGCTGGCTATATATGATGCAATACATACGTTCTTTAGCTACACTACGTAACAGCTAGGCTGCTTGTAAATGAGCTACTACAATTTCCATGCTAATGCAAAGTTGGGGATAAACATTTTTTTACTTATTTGCATATTGGCCAGACTTTTGCTGGTTTTCCCAGTGGGACACCAAGTGATCCCTACTGCATTTGAAATGCATGAAGCGCCAGGGCTGGAGGGGTTTGGAGGGACTACACTGGCAGGAGGCAGCTCCCAACTGGACAAATTGTGCTTCTTAGCACCTCGTGCTTTCGCTTGAGCGGCCCACGCAGTATTTTGGAAGAAAAGCTGGCAGTTTTTACTGTCGGCTGATACAGACATTGGGATTTACTCATGAGGCAAAACACCAGCCTCTCCCTGTTTTGGGTGCTGGGGAAAGGAGACGGAAAACTCACTTGGAGGAAAAGTATGTGTTCTTCATTAAAAAGCAGAGGCAGTCCTTTCCGCCACGTTTGAAGAATGCGAAGAAGTTTTACAATACCCAAGAGACACAAAAATTTGCAGTCAGTACTTTTTCAAAAGCAGTACCAATGCTTTCTTCTACTGTAATATTCCTAATTTCAGCACAAAAGACACAAATCAGTATTCTTCTACCAACCGCCTTCAAATATCCCAAGTTTTAGTAGAGCATGAGATGGCATCTATTCTTAAAGGATAAGAAACGGGTCTGAATATCTCAAATCAACCTTGTAAGTGGTGAATATGCTCAGACAAGTCTTGAGTCATCAGCGGCGCTGAGTCTAGTTGGAGGCTGGTGACAAGTGGTGTCCCTCAGGGGTCAGTACTGGGCCCAGTCTTGTTTAACTTCTTCATCAACGACCTGGATGAAGAGTTAGAATGTACCCTCAGCAAGTTTGCTGATGACACCAAACTGGGAGGTGTGGTAGATACACCAGAAGGC